CTTTCTCCCTCCCTCTCTCTCCCTCTCTCTCCCTCTCTCTCTCTGTCTGGAGGATCGTGTCTCCTCCCTCCATGATCTCCTCCCTCCCTCTGGGCTCCTCTGCCTTTCCTTCGCTCAGCCGTTGGCCATTGGGCCCTTCCTCTTTTCCTCCCTGCTCACCTCACCTTCCTGCGCTCAGATCCATTGTGCGCCGCCCATTCATTCTGCTCTGCTTAACACTTGTGCTTCTTAAGCTCCACCGCATGAAACCGACGTGCCCAACACTTGCTCCCAGATACTGTCCACGATTTTCACCGCTTTAGAGAAACGGGCCTTCCTTGCAGGCCCCCCGTCACCTTTTACCAGCACTCGCATGCCTTCAAATGTCTAATTGAGGAGTTCCCTCGCACGCCAAGATGTATTGCCCACATCCCATCAATCTGGAAGTGCTTCCCCTGCCCTGCTCAGAGCTGGGGCCCTTTCCTTCTGGGCCACAGGGAGGGCCTTGCGGTTCTTCCGCTGGCCAATCTCTCGGGGCACCATAGGAGTCCCAGCCTGCGAGCCTCTTAAAATGTTCGGCTTCCCCAAAGCTACGCGGCATCGGTGAGGGTTAGGGTTTTCATTGCCTAGCCTGGCCCTGCTCTGATGACTCCCGCCGCCCTTTCCCGGCACACCAACGCAGCCACCGTGACTGCTGAGTGGCTGGCCTAGCCACAGGAGGCTGGGGGCTTGATGATGCATGAAGCACCAGCACCTTGGAGAGGCTCCCCACCGCCCCTCTCAGCTCCCCCTTCCTTCTCTCCCCAGCTGCTTGGCGCCACCGCCGTGGAGGACAAGCTGCAGGAAGGGGTCCCCCAGACCATCGAGATCCTGGGAAGGGCACACATTAAAATCTGGGTGCTCACCGGTGACAAGCAAGGTACGGGCTGGGGAAAGTGGCGGGAGGGCCGAGGCCCAAACTCTTGAGACCACGGGCTGCTTTCAGGGCTTCTGGGCCCCCCTGCGGATCCCCCGTTGGGAGAACCAGGGGGAGTGTCCCTTCCTTGCTTCGGAGCCACTGCTTCTGGATGGACGCTTTCCTCGGGGCCCTTGGGGGGCAAAGCGACAGACTGGCCAGTTTTCCTAACGAATCTCTGGCGTCTGGGAGTCAGGATCAGGAGAGGAGGGGGGAAGAAGGGGGGGCAGGGGGGAAGCAGGGAAGTCACCTCATCTTTGAGGAACAGAAGAAGAGAGAAGTGGGCTCCACACGTGGGCAAGAAAAATGGCTGGTGGGGCAGAGAGAAGAGCTGGGCGTGGATGTGGCTGAGCCAAGGGAGGCCAGCGAAGAATGAAGATTATTCAGCCACAGAAGATCCATCTCCCAGGATGGCGGGTTCCGTCCCTTGGCCTGGCGTGCCAACTTCCTGGGTGCAGAGCTGGGGGCTCCCTCCCCTCCCAGGCTCCCTCCAGAGGCAACTGGGGACCAGAGGGGAGGGCTCCCTATGGGGAAAGGAGGGGGGTATCTTTCTCCTTGCTGAAAATAATGGACCGGGTGGTGGTGGTGGTGCGTGTCTGTTTTTTCCAGAGACCGCAGTGAACATCGGCTATTCCTGCAACATGCTGTACGATGCCATGAAGGACATCTTCATCATTCACGGAGACAGCTGGGAGGAAGTGGAGATGGAGCTCAGGTGGGAGAGGGAAAGAGAGAGGCGCACACACCTCCCGGGGCCTCCCTTGCAGCCCCTTCGCTCCCAGGCCCATCTGGGAGGGAGGGCAGCTGTCCTGAGTGGGGAGAGTAGCTAGCAGAGAAGGAGGCCGAGGGAGAACTTTCTCCAGCCAATTCCTGGAGGGACTGAGAGGGTCTCAGTCTCCCCGCTCCCCCGACTCACCTTGGGTGTCTAATGGATTGCTTCCTTAGGACTCCCAGGCAGGGAGGGGGTCCTCTCACTGATCCACCCCGTTTCTGGGCTGCCCCGCATCTCAAAGCGGGCGGTGGATGGGTGGGGAGGCCACCGCTCCCCAACTCTGCCAGCTGCCTTTGTCCAATGTGGCGCAGTGGTTAAATGCAGCACTGCAGGCTACTGCTAGATCAGCAGGTCAGCGGTTCAAATCTCACCGGCTCAGGGTTGACTCAGCC